AGCCAGAGTGACTCTTCCCTAATTTGTGTGCCCTTATATATTTAAGCACCACTAATGCCACTGTATGACTCACTGTTATTATTTCTCCCACTACCCAGAATGACTTACATGAGACTTCATGAACTATTGCAAAGTAAGGCTGGATAGGAGAACAATGTAGCTCAGAGAATATACTTACATCTTGGCAAGTACACACGTATTCTTAAGGAGAACTGATAGAGGGAACTTCAACAGGAGCTAAAATCTGGATTAGGTTCAGGCTTGTCCATACTCTTGGCTCAATGTTAGCCCTCCTGTTTCCCAGTATCCAAGCTTTGCTTTCCTTAGCTCTTATCATTCCCTCTGAAAAAATTCACTCAGAGATGCTGGGTGAAAAGTGAGGGCAATTATTATCCCCTGCACCACATCCCACCTTTACAAGCTGCTTCTGCAGGCAATTGATAAGATCCTGAATTACATCAACAACAGGAACTGGCATTGCTGCACAGCAGTGCTAATGCCTCTATTAATCCATAACCTCCATGAAACCAAGGCCAAAATTCACGGTCCTCACAGGAGACTCCGGGCACAGCCCAAATCAGACATAATTAGCAGACCATGTGTCTAATGATAAGGCATCGATAATATTCGACACCAAAATTACTTCAGAACTTCAAATTGCAGAGGCTATATATTTTAATTATAAGGCTATTTATAGCCTTGATAAGAGGATAAAACTAAGTCCCTTCTGCCTATCCCTGGCTGCTGAGCACATGGATGCTAAAGATCCCCCTTGCATTCAGGGATCAGGATAACCCATCTTCTTCAAAATAACATCACCAGCAAAACTAAATTCACAACTGTTGACACCGCACTTGTCATCATGTTTGAATATAAGTAAACAAATACTGTTAGAGACATCTGCCTACACCTTAAGGTACTAGAGCAGTGTAATGGTAAATTGGAAATAAAAGTAAATTTTAACTTCAAAAAGTTTTCACTGCTCCGAATACAACAGTTAGTACAACAGCTGTATGCATAATATATAGATTAAATGTGTTCTGATCTAAAGAAAATTAAAAGTAATATTTTTTATAAAATGCCGTTTACCACAAAAAATATGCAGAATTAGATTATGTTGCGATTTTTCTTGGGTACCCAGAAAGCTGAAACATAATGTGAGTTACGTGCATAAAGGAGCAAGATATTTGATTGTATCTCTCCACATCTTAGGCAGAGGGCTGCACTGCAACTGGCAGAACCTGTGAAAACCTGCAATACATCAAATTCAGAAATTATCTCTAGAAAACCACTTGTACAGTTTATTAATTCTGACAGAATAGTTGGCTGTACCAAAAATGGTGTCATCATATTGCAGGCTAGAATTACAGCATGATAATTCATTTGTAATCAGATTTTCAGAGAGAGAGAAGTGTAAGAGAGATGGATGACATTAGAAAAAACAAACCCTCCCCAAGTATTTTCTATCACAAAGCCTTCTTGAGTTCATTATTCATAAATTTTAACAGCTTGTTCCAAAGAGTTACCAAATGGTCAGGTAAGAATTAGGGAGAAAGCACAAACACCTGAGCACAGCAAATAATGAATAATCCTGTTAAACTCAAAAGTCAAAGATGTGCCTTTCAAAATCCAGCCCAGCTAAGTCTTCCTGAATTAATAAAGAGATAAGCTAGATAACTTCCTATCATCTTTGCCACAATTCCCAGTTCAAAATATACGTTGGTTACGCAGTCTCAAATTCCCACTTACACTGCAAGAACTAACATCTTCCTCCCAAGATCCAAGAGTTTTGCAAATAGAGCTTCAAGAAATACCCTGCATGATGAGCAGAAGCTCCAGAACATTTGGACTGCTCAAATAAACATTAAGGACATCTGTTCTGAAAACTAAACCAATCTCTGCGGTTTTATATGAGTAATACACTAAAAATGGATCATAAGCGGTCAAATTCTGTTCTCCATCAAACTTAAACAACTTCAATGATTTCAACACTACTACCCTAATTATCTCAGTTGATATGCATCACTTCTGCCCATTGGCAAAGAAGCTGCAATATTATGTTACAGGATGAGGTGCTTTCCATAGTTAAAATTCTCTCCTTTCATTGTCTCTTCACTGGTAATTTTATTTCCCGCTACTCTTCAGTCTACTATAATTTAGTCATTTCACATCCCTTTGAACATCCAGTTGAGAATTACAGTTCGAAAAAACTGCACTAGGAGAAAGGCAGAAATGGAGAAAGGGACAGTATTCACATACATTTCATCACTCAAACCGCACCTCGGTTCAGCCCAACAGCAGAGGATGAGCTGGTCACAGCCATGAGTAACAAAGTGATTACCAAAGGAACTAAGGAATTTCTCACTCATTAGAGTCTTTAATCTCAGATTGTATGTTTCTCTCAGATACCCAAGTTCGGTTACAATTTATCAGACTTGACAGCTTTTACTTATATCCTAGAATAGATGAACTTCCTCCACAGCAGGAATTACCAAATTACATTTTGTGCTTTGAACTATGCAGATGATCAGACCAGTTATTCGTATCTTCTCTGTGTGGCCTTGAAATTGGTGAGCCACAGCTGAGGCCACGATATGTGATTTGATGTGGCCTAGACTTTCCAAATGAATATTTCACTTTACAGACTAGTCTCCATCTTAACTTTAAGGTGGCACAGTTCATCAAGTTACCAGGTCCTGGCTGAATCCAACTCTCAGTATTCTTGGATGAGAACATGTTTTAAGTTTCAGTTTAATCCAAGTCCAAAATTAGGAAACACTTCACACATGCACAAGCCACAGCCCTAAAGTAAATTAATAATCAGGTTTAGATTATATGAGGGAAAGAAAACAAAAACCACTGATATTTTCTTTCAATAACATTAATACATTAATTTTTACCACTGTTAATTTGCAGTTATTTTGAGACAGATGAATATTAAGTGATTTTGTAATCTTTATAGTATTACTTTTATGTCTTTGAAGACCACTAGTGCAGGACTCAGTGAACTCAAATTTCCACAGCTCCCCACAGAAAATCGTTTGAGGTTGGAGAAGTTAATATCTCACAGGTCATCATCATCAGAATATTCCTTGCACTAATGGAACACAGCAATTCTCAATTACCAAATGGTAGAAAGCATTTTATTCTATTCCTGGCAAGTGGCATAATAGCAGACATTAAAATAACATAATTTCATTTTTATAACATTTTTACTTTCCTCTTATTTCAGTTTAGATGCAATATTAGGAACCAATAATTCAAGAGCAGCCAGAAATAGAAATCAGATCCTTGTACTAGCCAAGAATAGCTTAAAAACATTTCAAAGGCTATGAAGCATTAACCTTCTCCTTTAACTTTTTCTAAAGTGTTATATATTTGATCCTTAAGTTATATCTGAACTGAGAGGAGGCAAGATTAGAAGCAGATAGCAAAGAGTCACATCTCACAATTCACAGTAAGTAAATACTTCAAGCAAAGGCACAAATAATACAAGGTTACATAAGAATTTCCAAGTATACCCTATAATCTTTCAGTAGCAGCACCATAAAGCACTTTGCAACCAACTGCAATATATTCCTTGTCTCATTGCTTTTTATGCTGCAGTAACCAGTGTAATGAAATAAATATCATTAAGGCTAAATTTGACCAAGGGAAGTAAACAGGGACCACACTCAGCCCTTCTGTGAGTATCACACTCCAGCAGCAGCAAAAGCGGACGAATATGAGGCTTTATTTGAGTCTGATCTAGAGGAAGTTTAAGTCAGTGGAGTTAAATAAAATTGTCCTACTTTCTGTCCCACTCTAAGGGATTCTCAAAATTGACAAAAAAAGATTAGAATCTCTTTAAAAATTTCATAGAAAATACAGAAGTTGTAGCAATCTTCCAGTTATCCCACTACACATAAAATTTGAAGTCTATGTTGTTTCAATACCTACACCAAAATTAAAAAAAGAAAAAAAAGATTTTTTTTTTTATTTATTTGACACTTTGACTTTAACAGTCTTATTTTGTACCACTATTGGTATAGAATGATATTCTGAATTTTGTAGTGCTACTGTCCAATCTGAGAAACTACGTTCAAGTGTCCTTACAAACACAGAGCAAACCCAACACCACAGGAGAACCCAGAATATCTATCTCTCCTCAGCAGAGAAAGGATTTGTCACCACTTTGACATTACCGCAAGGACCATCTTATGATCTCTTGACCATTTTCATCAAAAGAAACCACTTAAACTGAGTAAGGGATGTTGCCAGCTGAGAATATGGATATCAGGCAGTGGGATTTTAGGCTGTGTTATTATGACAGCTCAGCCAGGTCGATATTGCATGCATTAGAATAATATATAGTTCATCTGCCAACAGGCAAACTGCTTTACACTAAGAAGGGACTATGCTAATTGCACAAACCTGCAGGTGATTTAAACTAATAATGACGATCTCAGTAGTACATTCAGGTGTGGGTAAGCAGAGAGATCTGACAAAGCTAACTAAGAATAGAATTTTTTCAATTAAATTGCTATACTTGTTGATTTAACTGAAAATAACTAGATCTGGAATCAGGGTACATATTACTCGCCTACCATAATCATTTGAAACAGCTACAGCCTTGTGTACTTCAGGCATACACAAAACATGAAGGAATAAAAGGGGCAAATCTGGCATATTTCTGCACTGGGCACAGATATGCATGTCGAGTGTGAAAAGTAGCAAGTGCGTGATGTGACATACAGAGAAGGGTACTGGGTAAAAGGGGAGCTATAAACCAAGCTGCTGGGTGGCTAAACTGAACCTATGCAGGCTGTTGGAGGTGCTGCGGGTGTAAGAGACAATTCTGCTGTTGAATCATGTTCATGGCTTAGTGGTCCTGAAATTGTAGAGGCTAGAAGGCCAGAGCAAGCTCACACCTCACCATGGAAAGCTGTATTGTGCAGAGTTAACACTCAGCTCCAGAAAGAGAGTACCCGCACACAGTCAGTGTTGCAGACAAGTCAGCAAGGCCCTTGTTGGCAGGAGTTACTAGCTCAGGACAGTCAGCTCAAAAAAAACTGCAAGGAGAAAACAAGAAGCTGTCATCTTCTCAATTTTTCACCCTAAAAACCCAGGGTTGTATGAAAGAGCCTGTATCACCTGCAGCACAAGCAACCCAGTGGGCCAGGCGTGCATTAGGAACCACTCATGGCTTGAGGGACAACACAAATTGTCTGTGAAGCTATTAGCCATCCACAATCAAAAGATAATAACATATAGAGTAGACTTAGCAGAAAAAAAACGTAACCACACTCAGCAACAGGAGCCTACCCATGTATTCTTCTGGGATTTGTAGTGTAGTTTTTGAATTTTAACAGAAATTTTTATAATTTTTCAGCCTCAATGGATCACTGTATAGTTGCATGTGTCCTGTCCAAAATTTTGCTTGTAAGAGAATCTTTAAAAAATAATTGCATAGCTTTAAAACTCAGTAAGGTATGATTATAGAGAACAAGGGGAGACTTCAGAAAGTTAAGCATAAAGGAGAAATTCACTATTGTTTTTAACCTTTTCCATTCTCCATAAAGCTAGAAAGCTACACAGTGCCAGCAACTTCCCCTGCTGTATGCTTCTCCATACAGCCAGAGACCTCATCTGGTTTTCCTATTATGAGCACCCTTTGAAGAAAGTTGCCAAGAACATAGGTCAGCCACATTAAATCAGACCAAAGGTGCAAAGATGCCTAGCATCCAATCTGGTACTGTGGCTAACAGCAAATATAGCCCATAAGGACTGGAATAATATACAGTGATAATTCTCTACAACACTCTCCCAACTTCCAGCTTAAGGGGAAGAGGCTTTACCACTGAATTTCATAATGCCCATTTGATTTTGCCTTCTGTCATCTGTCCAGACGTTTTTTGAACATATGTGAACTGTTAGCTTCTACAGTCCTCCCTATCAAGGAATTTCAGTGCTGAATTATTCACTGCACAAAGGAATTCTCTCTTCTTTCTGTCACCTGCTTGATGCATTTGTTGTCTTCCTTCCCAGAATGTCACTATTACAGAAAGAGAAAGTATCTCTGGTACTTATTCACCACTTGTGGGGGAAAGACTAAAAAAATTAAGATGGATATTGACCTCCTTGTATACAATAACAAAACAGTGCTGGAAGAGAAGGGTGATGTAGGATTGTATTCTTCTAACAACCTGAAAAATCTCCTCTTCTCCAGGACAGAGCTATATCCCAAAGGCTACAGCAAACAATTAAAGCTGGTGGTTGTAATTGTAGTCTGTAGCAGAGACTGCAGGGCTCTGCCTCCCCAGACCCTTGCAAGAAAGTCAAGTCCTTGCCACAAGTATCACAGTGAGAGAGGAACCTGAATTGTTTCTGGGTCTGTCAGCCTGTTGGGAGTGATGGGAGGCAACACTGGATACACTTCACAGACTAATCAATAAAATTACTCACATTCAAAGGAGTTATGCGCATGCTCCAGTGTGTATTTATATCCAGCCATTTAACAAGATTTTTATGTAAATACTAAAAGAATACTCCCAACTGAAACAGAAATGCACAACATATTTTCACAGAAAACTCCTTCCAACTGCATTTCTCACAACAACATAGCAGGCCATTAAATAAACATGCTAGCGTCAATAAGCATAGACTTAGGAAATTTAACTAATATAGAGCTAGTCCCAAGGAAGTGAGCTGAAAGCATTGAGAAAATAACCAGTCTACAAGACGACGCAAAATTGCAGAGATTTTGTCACCACAGGCTTCCGATAATGTCATAGAATCCTGGGAGACAGACAGTAGACTCTCTTTAAAAGTAACCACTGCTATGAATACACAGTGAGCAGAGCTGACCTGAACCAGAGTGCCTAGAAAGGGCAGAGTCTGTCTAAAGGCACCAATAACACCACATTTTGGGCTTGAAGCCAGATGTCAGCCACCACCTGCATTCCTCCCCCATGCCAACAACAAGTGCAGCCCTGCACTTCTTACACACTATACACAAAATCCCCTACTTACTCCTGGTCCATACTGTACAGGACTCTGAATTTAAGAGATATTTTAAACAGAAAGCTCCACTTTAATTATGCTACATATCATGTTCTAAATATTAATGGTTTTGCATTTGTCTGTTTCATTATTTGGGGAAAGGAATAAACGTCCTTTTCCGTTAACCCTTCTTTGAACAACTGTTTCTCCAAAATAAAATGCAAATCTTCAACAGTTATGTTATGTACAAACAGTTATGTTATATACAAACACAGAGCCATGTCTTTTCACATCTAGTTTTTAAAGACAGCCCTCAGTCAAAATCAGCCACATTCCCAAGATGATTTTCAACACTCTGTCCATTTAATGAAAAATCAGGCTGTTTTCACTAGTACAAACAAGGAGACAAATGTTCACCAAGGAATCCAAGATCCTTCCTTTTTATGTACCATCTCACTTTGCTATTCATTTATTGAACATGTCACACTATGTCTTTTATCAACACAAAATTCAATTTAACTCTTAAATAGGAAATAAAAATAACCAGACATTCATAATTAGGACATCTTCAGATTTTTCATTCTGATTTTTTTTCCATTTGATTTATTTTCAATTGCTAACTGTTTACTTTTTTAATAGTTGATTGAATTTGGGAATAATTCTTGATGACAAATTGTACACATTCTGCTTTTCAAACATTATCCAGTGGGTTCTGCTGGTGTTACCACATCAGACATGTATTCTGAATAGTATTTTCATTGACTTTTTTTTAAACTAGAAGGACAATTATCTGAAAAATGTATTTAAAAACAGGGCTGAAGTACTAGTCTTTATATTTGCCTTTTAAACATCAGTTTAAAGGCAAACAAGTGAAAGGGAGTTGACAAGTCAAACCATTCAATAATTCTATGATTCCATTCTCTATACTCAGTATATGCTGTGTACTGCCCAGTGGGTTAGGGTGTAATGGTCAAAGTGGACATCAACACCAGGCAGCCACCACCACACCACCTGATGGTACCTATCACTCCAGGCAATGCCTTTGAGGAGGGCAAGAGGGGCAGGTTACAGACCTAATCTTAGTTCTCATGCATGTCCATGGTTTGCTACTTGGGTGAGGATGCCAACACCTGCCATAAAATTAGAAACACTAAGCAGCTTGGATTAGACTTTTCAGCTGCCATAGGGACAGGCATTGCTTCTCTATGTTGTCTATATTCTTACACTAGAATACAGTGTATTGATGTACACCTTGAACACCACAGTCACCAAGGAAGCTGCTGCCAACTGCAGCCAAACCCCTACAGTTCCTGGCCTCCATAAACATGTAGCCAACACCTCACAGAAGCCAAGTGGTCAGCAGACTCTCCTGGTGTCTTCTTAGGCAAGGCATAACTGAGCATCCAAGTCACCCCTGTGGCCTTGTCATTTCTAGGCACCACTCCCCAGAGAGAAAGCTGAGAGAGCTTCTGACTTGTGCTTCTCCTGAAACTCTCAGCTGATAGCTCCCTTTAGCCAAAACAAAGCTCGACAAGAAAAAAAAACTAATGATAAAATGTATATGAGCATGAGAAACCGAACAGAGTGGGACTCTCTAGCTTGGCAAAGACATGCTTTGCTAGAGGCATGATTGAACTTTATAAAGTGACAGGCACCAAGCGAGTAAACAGGAAGGAACAAATCACAATTTCCTATAACACAGCTAGAGGCAGAAGAAAACTACTTTTTCCCCACAAAATTTGCTATTCCAAGCAGGGACAAGGAACCGAGACATTTTATCCCAGTTCAGTCAGTACTGAAGTCTGATCAGTCTTGTAGGATTTTGTTTGCATTGGCTTTCACAGAGAAAGCACAGACATGAATCTTAATAAATAAAGTTAGTAGTTTTGATGTTTCCAGCAGAGCAGAGTATCAGTTCTAGGAAGACTTCTCCAGAAGAGCAGAAACAAAACTTCACAAGATTAAAAGCCTTTCATTTGTTCTACAGAATGATTTTTCTTCTGTTATGCTAGTGACAGCCAAAGTAGATCATATTTGCTTTCCTGAAGTTTTGAAACGTGCCTATCAAAACCCATTACCACAGCAGCAGCCATTCCCACTAGAAGCCATTAGCCAGCAGGAAATTACAAAACTGTTCAGACACAAGCAAGAAAACAGAGCAAAAATTAGAAATGTGCATAGACAAGAAAAGGCTAAAAATATCAGTGAGCAAGTTTCCAGATATAACTGAAAAATACAGTCATAGAAAACACCCAGCTTCCAGTAAATGCTGATGCTGGTTCTACATAAGGAATGGTCATTAATTACAAGCAAAATATATTACACTATATATAAACAGAGTAAACTCTCAGAACTTGGTTAAAAAAGCTAAGAATACTTCTGAAGATCATCGATCTACCCTTTCTGTGCTAGAGGCAGATCTGCATCTCTCAGGCCAACAGTTACATCAGCATGAAGAACTGTCCTAACTCTACCGACTGAAAAAAATTTACCATTTTTCATAAAGTCTTCACTTTATGTTTAATACAGGATCTATTTTGACCCACCAAGTTATCCTTTTGGTAATATTTACCTGTCACAGAGAAGAGAGAGAAGCATTTTATTTTTTATTCAGATGCCAACAGTAGCCCAGAGCAGAAGCAGGTCAGCATCTTCAGGGTAACAGAGATCCAGCCACTCTATCTGGAATGTGGGTCAAGACATCTAGAAAAGTCACTAGGAAAGATGTAGTCCTGCAAATCGTTCCCACTGCTGATCTTACACAGTTCAAGTGGACAGGAGTTTTAACCACTTACTGTGATCTCTACACTCCAAAATACTGACTGAAGAAAAACGTGGGCACTGCACAGCAGTGCCTACGGGTGTCTGTAACAGAAGAAAAGGGTGGTGATAGAGACTACAGAGCAGACAGGAACAGGACACTGCATCTCTTTAATGGGTCATTCATCTGGCTGGGCCTTATTAATTTGTAGGTCTTCAAAAATTAAGTGCTGTCAATTTTAAAAGGCCATGGAATACACAATAATCAGTTTTATCAAGAAAGATTTATAAAAGAGCAACAGCAAATATTTAGAAGGAACCCAGGCCATCAATTAATAACCTCAGGAATTTGCAATAGACTACAAAATCATTTCTTCTGTTACTAAATACACGTGCTTTTTTTTTTTCCCCAGTTTGGGATTTTTGTAATTTTTTTTCCCTGTGTTCCCTATTGCCACTTAGTGCATGGGACAGGGACCTGCTCTGTGTCAGGTTCCATAACCCAACTCAGTCATTACACTTCACATCTGAGCCCTAGAAACCACTTAATTCCTACAGCTGCAGCTGGGGGGCAGGGGGTGGGATGGGAAGGGGCTGGTTTGCAGAAAGACAATTTCATGTCTTGAGAAATATCACAAAAACATCCTGACCATTTCCATTAGGATGCCAGGACATTCTGTTTTCAGAACTGTCTCAGCCAAACAGGGGTGTCTAGACATGTTATGTAACTACTACAAACCTGAAGCTTATCTGTACCCCAGTTGTTGGTGCTGCCAAGCTACTGCAGAAAGAGGTACAATAGGCTACACTGCCCTTCTGCTGTGGAAACATCTGCCAAAATTTCCCATTTTTACAAGCAGAAGAAAAATTTACCCAAAACGATGATGCAAAATTCTTCAATTCTGAATAATTGTAATGCTGAGGGCACCCCTGAGTCGGAGTTGACCTATAGCTGAACTTTTCAACCTAATATTATATTTAGCCTAGTATTGTATATAGTCATATATCTGCTTATTAACCAAGATGCTATATAATGCTTAGTAATGCTTTAAGAGTACGCATTTATGTTTGTTAGCCCAGTATATTATTAATAATTAGTAAGGCTTGTATGTGTTATAAATGTATCTTCCTTTTAAGTTAGGCCATAAAAGCAGTAGGCCTCACATGGTTGCAGCTTGTTCATATTTGAGATATAAATGTAGCCACAGTCCTCTATTTAGAGACTGGTCAAGGCCATGGGGCATTTGATAGTAGTTGGTCCAAACTTTCTCCCTTTTTAAACACAGGGGAAACTCCTCCTTTTGTTCTAGGTAATGGAAAGTCAAACTTGGAAAATCACTGTTTAAAAGGAAGGCTTAATCAAGAACAAGTGCTACTAAGATAACATAGGAAAAATATGAATTCCATAGCCAGTTAAGGAGATTCACAGAGCATGCAACCTGAATTTTACACATAAAGGAGCAAGGAGCTAAAGCAGATGAAGGACAGTGTCAGGGAAAGAGGTTACAAAAAGATGAACATGATTGAAGTTCCATATGGAGTCTGGTAACCACTGAACTTCAAATCAGCAAAGGAAACTCTGAAGGGCTCCTGAATGGTTAGAAATTAGCGATGAAAATTTATCAGGTAAACATTCCAGTCCCCTGAAAGACTAAAAGATAACAATCTTTGAATATAATACAAGGAAAAATATCTAATAGTGAAGTAGGGAGATTATATCATCTCTGAATTGAGCAATGGTGAAGCACATTCTGGGATGTATGCCCATTCCGGGTGTATACATTTTGTGAAGGATCAGTGGTACAGTAGAGTAAATCCATAAAAAGATCCATAAAAATGAGATGAACACCAGAAAATGGGCTTTACAGGAAGACTTCATCATAAAAAAGGCTGAATAGTTTAGATTGAAACATATTTTCACAAAGAAGGCAAACTTCATTTGATAACTAGCCAAATACCTATAGCAGAAGTTGTTAACCAATAATAAAGGAGGCCTTTAGATAACATGATGTGATGAGGCTGATAGCTACATGTTATCTCTGAATCTGTGTATGACATTACAATTAAAAACAAACTGAAGCTAGATGCACTTAAATACAGAATAAGAAACTTATTTTCACACAAAAACCCATCACACAACCAAACAGATCATTTACCATTTGCATTGTAAAAACTCCCCAAGTCATTGTCTTGTGGTCTACCAAGTATATGCAGAAATTCAGAAGTAATTCTAGGTAACCTAAGCTGCACAAGGGATTTTAGGGTTTTGACTTCTTTTCTCAGGAAACTACTGCACAGAACTGTTTCACAAAAGGTGTAACAAAGAAAGTCTGAGGTACACTCTTTTGGTAATAACATAAAACGAGAATGCTTCTTGTTCAGTCCCTATGCCTGCAACTAATCCAAGACTTTTAATTCTCTCAGTAATTCAGCTGGTACTTCTGATTTTTGTTTGCCTCACCTTGAAATATTTACAATCTTGGTGTTCTCCAAAGGTAGGAGACTGTGAAAGATCAGCTGCAGTCTATTAGAATGATAATACAGGGAACACAACTATGGAAACTTTCTGAAAGCAAGAGAAAAACAGTTTGAAATAAAAGTAATAGCAGATTGATGGAATATGGCTGGTCCTTGTGTAAAAATGGATGACAGAATCCCTTAAGTTTTTGAGTTAAAAATGTGAGTCTGCTTTTAATGTTCATAATAGGTAATGTTCATTTTGATCAGGATGACAAGAATCATTCCTCCTAAGAAATAAAACAGCATCACTATTAATTAAAAAAAAAACAAAAACAGAAATTATTTATTTTAGATGCCAAAAAGACACATATAAAGCTACGTATTTCTCTGGCTCTTATGAATCCTTAATAAAAAATGCATCTTTATCCGATGCAAGCCAACTGATCTTAATCAAAACAAGCTGAGGATGCAGAGGGTGATGGCCCTTATCTCTGTTAATCATCCAGTAAATATTCCTCTTTCCCTTTTCAGCAAGAGATCCCTTGGAATCAGTGAATACCAGACCTTGCAAAAAGGACTGTTCAGACTGAAATGTTTCTATACTTTAAGATATGTGAAGGCTGCCAAGATGGAGACTGAAGATGGAAGGACAAAAGAAGAAAAAATGCTTGAAAATAGCTTTCAATAATTTCTGATTAAATAAAAAAGGTGTTTTAAAATATACTCTATATTGTGTGACAAAGAAATCAGGACTTCTACATTCTGCAACTCTTACATCAAGTAGCACTTTTTTCTAACATCACCTCACTAAACCAGCCGAGCTGCCTGTGAATTGAGGTGTAACTAAAGTAGAGTAATAAGCATCTTTCTCAGAGGGTGCAGTGGGAATGGTCCTGTATTTCATTAAATTTATATTCATCATGCCTCTGATAACAGAGCTGGGATACAATTTACATATCATTTCATTTTTCTGTGTACATAAAAAGATTTCCCTACTTCTACCAAGCACTGGTAAAGACAGTAATCCACAACAGTAAGAAAATTCCAGTATTGCTTTCTGGTCTATTAAAACTAATAATCAGTTCTACTGCTGTGACAATGCTGGTAAGTCAAAAAAACATGACTTTTACTCAGTAGGGAAAATACCATTTTTGCAACAGAACTGAGACTGAAGAGATTCTCAGTAGATAACAAATGAGATCCACAGGGCTCAACCCATCTCTGATTCTCCCAAACCTCTGTTAATTGTCCCTTCCCACCATGAAACAAACTCCAAACATGGTTTTCCTTGCCTGAGGAATCTCACCAAGCTCACTATATGATATATAAGCACTCCTAGCATTCTCTGTATGCCTTTATCAGTCTTCAAATAAAAATGGGTTGCTTATGTCTGTCAGACACAATCCAATTACTTAGGTGTTCAATTACTGAGACAAATGCTGACACATCCTTTTGATTACTCTCTTTTTATTGGTTCATACTTCTTTGACATTACTTATGAGCTATGGTGTCCTGTATGTATTTATGCAACACTTGGGAAATCATGTCTTCAGCACGAACAGGAAACAACTGAGCTACCTGTACCTAACCAGGCAGCACACAGACGTGTGTAAATTTGCGTAAACTGTCCCAAACTCTGTGTTACCTATCTTTCTTTGCTACTGCTGCTACCTAGGCTAGGCAGATGAAAGTTGTCTTATGGACCAACTTTTCTCATTTTTATCCTTATTTAAGTTTGAAAATATCTTTGCCTATCAAACAACCCTTTTCAGTACTACAAATCTCCTCCTGGAGGTATATAAAAAATTCACTACAAAGATGGGTAGCCCACAAATCCAAACAGAGTGGTCTTGTACCTTTTCTGATTGAAGACAAGTTTTACAGTGTACTGACCTCATTTCTTCAGTCACTCCCAAGTCAGACTTCATATTAAGAATGCACTTAAGCTTGTGCTGCAAATTGATGTGGCATTTCAGTACCATCGAGGTTTAAATCATTCTATCCTGTTTCTAATGTACTCCTGATCATAGAATGGCTTGGATTGGAAGGAACCTTAAAGACCATCTAGTTCCAACCCCACTGCCATGGGCAGGGACACCTTTCACTAGAGCAGGCTGATAAGAGCCTCATCCAATCTGGCCTTGAACACTTCCAGGGATGGGGCATCCACAACTTCTCTGGGCAGAAGGTGTCTGCTCGAGGACCTTGAACCAATTTGCAAAAGGATTCGAGTCAGAGCCTTCATTTGAGGGTGAAAGACTTTAAACAGCCAACCTAATTGTTGGCTCCTTTATTGCTGGTTCTCTTATTGCTTTTGCACTGTCATAGAGAAACAAGGGTTTCAAGTCTTTCTTCCTAACACTGTTATTTTTAAAACAAGGTCATTAAGGTCTAACTACCCTACGGTCACTAAAGACAACACAAATAACTGTAATTAAATCCCTGAGAAAGGCAATTCCTCAATTTTTCACTACATTCTAAGGAAAAAAATTTTAGACTGCTCAGCACCTATCAGTCACAAGAGAACGGAACAGTTTGTGTATTTACAGTCAGCTTTTGGACCTACTTTTCTTCTTTTCTGATGGAAATAAACAAACTAAAAAAAAAAAAAGGTAATTTAATTATAGTAATGGTTCATATATAAATACTCCATCTTGGTAAAGTCAACCATAAAGGGTAAGCCCTGGAAGACTCTTATTGACATTGCTACTTACTGATTAACTGACAAATGTCGTAGGCAAAGTGCATAAAAATACTTGAGAAAAGCAAGTTCAAAACAACATTTACACCTGAAACATTAAAATACTGAACTGGAAATTTTTAAGATACTCACCTGCACTTAACACTCAGTGTTAGACATAGCACTGATTGGTTCAAACTATTCATAACTTTGGTCTTGCTGTAGACCTGGATGAGATGAAAGTTAGGAAATTTTTCCCCCTAATTTTAGCAGTAACACACACACACACACACACAACCTCAGAGAAAGGTGCTCCTCAAGTTCCTTAAAGACCAAGTAACTTAGTTTCAGATAGATAAATTAATTTCATTCTTATTTCTGAATTCAACCCTTGGTAACTATATGATACACTAAAGGTGGTTGGACAAACTTGAACCCGATTTCATCTCTTATAAAGAAGTCAGAGCACAGATTAACTTTGAGATTTTAAATTGAGTTTCTATGAGTAGAAGTTAAAGTGTAGAAAATACGTAAAATATCATGAACACAGAAATTAGGTAATAGGCACAAATATAAAACAGCAAGGAAGGGAAGGAGCAATAATTTTAAAAACTTCTGAGTCATGCTTTGGGACTTTGTCACCTTACACGTGACAGTTGCTAGAGCAATGCCTCAGGTTGAAATTGTTCAGAAACGCAAGGCTCAGTGATGATTTGACAGCCTGACTCAGAAGCAGCTCCTTGGAGTCTGTAGAGTCACATTCAACTAAAACCCTGTGTAAGCAAGAGGAAAAAGTAGCCCTTTAATAGCCTGTCAGTATTAATCTTGAATAATCTTCAAGTATTTTGTGATTCCTCCTGTCAAGCTAAGACTGGTATGTGAAACAAGCAGCAAGATATGCTCCCTGCCACCCAATAGTTTAGTTAGGTTCTTTCTTAGAATAACTAGTTCTAAAATCAGGTTTTTCTCATTCCATCCAGGCATGCAATTACACACCAATTACCAACTGTAGCAGTAAAACAAGTCTCAAATACTATGTCCACCTCTGGAGTTTTGAATTTTAAAACTAGTTTCAGCCTTTCCACTTTGGGTAAACTGGACATCCTGACCCTGATTTGACTTCTTACGAGACAGTTCTGGCAAGAACATTGCTAAAATACAGAAGGAAAAAAAAAAGAAAAGAAAGAAAGAGCTACTTAGTGCAGGACAAAGGAGTTTTTAGCTTCTTCATTAAATGGAAGGAAATAGATCATATACAAAATGCATGAACTGGGAGCGACAGAGATGAATAATGTATCTGTTACTTGTTTGCATAATGGAGTTATTTGATCTACTTTGACTTCTCAGGCAGAGCAAAACCAAAACGTAATGGTTTTCCCACCTTTTTCCAAGAAAGTCTTCAGAAATTCATGTCCTTCTAAAGGCCACAGGATGCTATAGAATACTAATGAACTTCCAGCTGTTGTTGGTACACCTGTAAAATAGCATAGGCAATGTTGCCCCTTTCAGTTCAATTCTAAACAGAATTCAAGGGCACCACTCTCTAATGAGAAAAAGCTGAACACCTGACCAGACAAGCTTCCGTTAACTTTACGTGTGGTAGCCTTCACTGTTTTCCATTTTTTTCTCTTTTAATCTTTTAAACTACCCTTGAAAGGATGACGTTCACTTCAAAACCAAAAGACACACTTCCTTTGTGGCTCCTCTGCAGTAATGTTCTGCTGGAACATTCTGCAGCAGGGAAGGGATTTTCAGCTTCTCAACTAAAGTTATTCTGCTGTCATAAAAGGTTACAGCCAGACATCAGTGAGAAAGGAGTAAATCAAGACATAACCCTTCAAGCCAAGTAGATTTTTTTTTTTTGGTCCTCATATCATCCCAATATGTAAATTACCAGTTGCCAGACTTCTGTGGTACTTCATATCGTGCTTAAAAGTCAGTACACCAGATCCTTCAGAAGGTTTGGTCCAGCAGCTGAAGAGGGCTGCCTGGCCTGTCCAAACTGTTACAGTGGCTCTCATGTAGGAATTTTGGGTGTGGGTAGACATGATGAGTTGAAAACCCTGAGACCATGTGTGGACAAACTAACTTTACAGGTGCTCAATAGCATGTCTATAGCAACAACTTCTTGCTCTGCTGTGTCTGGAAATTTCTTATGAATCCTTGTCTCCTGTAATGTCAGAACTATACTTATTGGGTAAAAAACGTGTTATTACAGAAAAACTTTGGCATTACTTTCATTCTAGCTAATCTAAAATGAACACTAAACCAAGGGATTTACCAATAAAAATACTGCCTGATAAAAAATTAAATTTAAATTTAGAGTCTAAAATGTAAGTTGGTTCTAACTTGCATTATAAAAATTTTCTACATAGTTCTCTACTGAATAAAAATGGTTCACTTACCTAATAAAAACACTTGCACTAATAGGACGGCATTTTTCTCAGTTTACATATTTGAAACTTAATAAAATGCCTTTTTCCCTATCTGATTTATTTAGTTAATATCGTCACTAAGCCCTTGCAATTAATTACATCTTTAAGTAAGAGGCTTCTGTCATTTATCTTTCATTACACTAGTTTCATTTTTTAGCTTACCAGCCTGCTGATCTCTTTTCCTTTTATTTATTGTTGTCAATTTTAAGTTCTAGGAAAAAAAAAAAAAAACAAACTAGAAAAGGATCTTCCCATTGTGACCTAGAAGATGCTGAGCTGTGTTCCATAAAGCAATAGCACACAGCAAGGTGCACAGGGCTTCTCTGCCACAATTTGCTTGGGTGTATTGACAAACTGGGCATCAGTGATTTAATTGCTACAACCCTATGTTTGAACCACTGTCCTTATACAACAATTAAGTTGTTACCTTTCAGGGACAGAGGCTGACAAAGTAGTTCAACAGATGTTAGTTTTAATCATAAGGAAGAGCCGTTTGTTTCCAAGCTTCCTATTCCTTGGCTTGAATACAGTCTGCTTGACTACAACCTCTTCAAGTCTAATTTACAATTGCTTTTAGGAACATTTAATTTCATTATGATAAACATGCCTGTATTCCTTGTATCTGTGATGCAAAACCCATCACACTTCTTCCCAGTACAAGTGGGATTTTTTGGGGAAGAGTTGTTAACATTTGTTTCCATACCTTCAGAGAACTAGAGCAACTCTGGCACACAGCATCACACGACAGAACACATCCTCGTTATCGTTTCTCCTGAAGAATTTATACCAGTGGCCCTTCCTGTGAAGATTAGATTGCACCTCAACATATGGGACTATCAGAAACTGAAATGTCAGTTAGTGACATTCTGACAGAGACAAGGAATTCTTAGGGAGAAAAGGGAATAGATAAAAACAACACTATTTTGAGAGAGTGCTGAAAAAATACTCATTTTTGAGTATATATTGTAAATATCTTTAGAAGTTTTGACAATTCACCAACCCTCCAATAGGTAATCTTTACCTTTCAGTGAGAGCACAGTTTCTTGAGTCAACTCTCACAAGATCAGTGCCAGCAGTGGTTTAAGTGAGAACCTACTTAATACAAGTAGGGAAAAAGAGCAAAAAATAAATTTAAGAAAGTCTTATGTCCACTGTTTTGAATCTGAACCTTTTCCTTAAAGATGGCCACAGTGATTGGGGGAGAAGAAGCAAACTGTGCTAATTGCTTTAAAAATGCTGGGTGTTTTTGTATCTATCCTAAAGAAGATTGACTCAGTTCACACCTGCAGCACTTCCTCTGTGCAAGTCAAACTGGCAGTCTCAGGGAGGCATCCAAAATCTAGTTGTTCTTTTTCTTCTTACAGACTACTTTCAGGGAGAGATGTGACCAGTCCAGTGATGCTCCCCAGGAGGAGCACAGGGCCAAAGATACACATGATGAAATGATTCAGCACTTCTGATACTTTATTGACTATATTTTAAGACAAAGGGGAGCATTAGAGGATATAACCTGACCACCTATGTAACACAGACCACAGCAATTCAAACAAAACATCTCAATCCAGATCCCAATGGCATGTGAATGGCTAATAAGGGTTTTCCAGAAAGGTATCTGGTCTGCATTTAAACACCAGAAAGAGAAGAGGCTGCACTTGATTTTACTTGATCTTCCTGGTTAACAAGGAAAATATCCCCAGCATCACTATGCCTTTGTGATCAAAGTCATCAGGACAAAATAAACACCACAAGCAAATGCAGAGTTACACCTTCACATGCCCTCACTGGCTGGCAGAAGGGGTTTCACACTGAGCACCTGAGCACACACACATTTGAACAACACACAACTGTCTGCCAGTTTCTAAACTCACTTCAGCCCAATGCCTTACAGACTGTATTTATTAAAGACACTACGTAAGCTGGTAAGAAAATAAAAATTACAGGAAAATAATAATAGAAAATATCAAAAATTATTTTAGAAAGAAAAGCCAAAACTCCAATGTATTTCAGTAGGTAGTCAATCCAGAGAGGAGAAAAGCAAAACCAGACTTAAGGCAGAGTTGCACACAGATAGCACTATTTACATCTGCATACTTCTCAAAACCAGGAACATGATCTAAAACCAAAGCTAAACTAAGCCAGAGACTCCAATTTAAAATAAGACTGCAGACTCAAGAGCACAAATTTATATAGTTGTTTAGGGTTGTTTTTTTCCAAAAAAGCAAAGTGTGGTGTGGGTTTTGGTGGAAGGAGAAGGTAAAAAGAAAAGGGTCTGATTGACCCAATTATGACACTAAGGCAGATTAAAGCAAAAATAATTATTGGTAACATCCTTTCACAAAAAGAGGAAGCAGAAACAAAAGACTTCCTTTAACCTGCACAAAGGTGCTCCAGAAATCAGAAAGAATGCCAGCCAGGAACCAGTCTGACCTTAATGATTTGGACCATGTCCACAGAGCTATACTTAACATACACTTATGTTGCTTGAACTGATGGTTAAATTGAACACAAAGATCAATAGCACCTGAAAAGGTGATAGAGAGCACGATCCCCTGAATGGTGAGCTGATTAGCCTTTGCTGCAAGAGGGAAGAACATATCCCATTTGCTTTCATTCCCCCTCCAAGATCTAAAATGTCTCTCTACAGAGGATGCTCTCGAAAAAGCTCGTCAACAGAACAAAGCACAACTGGAGCTCTGAGGGCCAGCACAATGGGTCAGCAGCTCCACTCACAGATTACTGGATTACTGCTTCTGTTCTTCAGGACCAAACAAGGATTAAAATTATATTAGTGAGAAATGTCTGCATGCTACAGACTGAAAGACCAATTCCTAATGTAAAGCTATTGCCATGAACTCAGAGTAATGGATCATCTGACTAGATAACTATAAACATTCTCACACTTACAACTCAAAATTATTCATGACTTAATCAAGGCAAGAAATAATATGGGGAAAAAAAACAAAAACCACAAGGACTGTTTTTTGTAACAGTGTTTATATCTTTGGAGAAAACTAAAGGAGTGAAGTAAGAGAACAGTCAAATGTTTGATGTTTGTAATTGACAAGTGAGATGTTCCTTCACTGTAAATTAGAGTTAATGTTAACAGTGTTATTCTTGCCATATAAGTCTTACTAAGAACGGAAGTATTAAGTTGTTGTATATGATTTATGCTTTTCAAGCCCTCCTCTTCTTCCATCACTCTTTTCTCGGTAGGACATTGAAGCTTGTAGCTCTGGCTTATGGGAATAGCTCCTCTGGCCACAGGATCCCCCTGACATACACAGTGCTTCACATACACACCAACTTTCTTCTCCCACGTCTGTGAAACATGACAGTCATTTCTCATGTAGCATACACACATATTTAAATATAGAATTAATGCAAGGACTACGGAAAATTCAGTGAGAAGTAAAGACTTCAAAATTGATGTATCTCAATTATTATAGGTATTTTAACATTTTCACCACCTAGCAGTTTTACAACAAAGATATAGAAATAGGGGAAACACTTCAATTTGCTGCAGTGCAACACAATGACAAAGATGCAAAATGTCTCTAAAATCATGTAATCACTGAAGAAAATATTTTTTAGGTTACACTTGTAACAAAAATGACTGCTATAATGTACCATTTCTTTTAAACAATGTTTAAAAAGAAAGCAGCTAGAATAATCCACTTATGCATAATTAAAAGCAACACTCAATCACCTATGGAAATGAAACATAACTGAAATGTGCATTAAATATGCAAAAATATTTCTTCCTAAAGTAGCTGACTGAATAATACTTCATAAAAATTGCCTCTTATAATTACACAGTCTATGTAGCAATATAGTGGTCCCTTAGAAAGCATTATTATAGAGTCCTACCCTGCAAGAAAACTCAGATTTTGAAATTAAAATTCATTCTATTACCATGAAAAAAAAAAAAAATCAGTCTTGGAGTTTTTCACAAAAATATTCCAGAATATTCATATCAGGACGATTGGAGCATCTTATTTAAACA